TTGAGATGGGGTCTTGCTAGTTGCCCAGAGTAATGTTGAACCCATAGTCCAGGTGGGCCTTGAACCCATTCTCCCACTGTTTCTGTCTCCTGAGTGTCTTCAATTACAGGTCTGTGCCACCAGGCCTGACTAGAGTTCTTCCTGACACTTTCTTCCTGTGTGGTTACTTTTCATGGCCTATTTTTTACATTACACCACAGGATCCCTAAGCCCAGCACAATGCCTGGCACACAGGGGCTGGGCAGGATCAACAGCCTGGGGCTCACAGTGAGGACAGCAAGGGACAACACTTACGCGATCTGGAGTGCCCGGGTGCCCAGCACACGGGCTCGCTCATACTTGGTCATGTACGGAGTGGTGATGCGTTTCTGGTTGGCCTGCGGTCGCTCACCAGAGGGGAGAATCTCAACATTCTCCTGACCTTCCTGGATAGAAGAAAACAGAGGGGACATCTCAGGGTGAGTTTTGGGTCAGAGAGGAAGATGATGACAATGACACTCACGACCACCATTAACGCTTTCTGTACATCTAAGCACATTTACTAATGCCCCATTCCTTACTACTCTGTGAGGAATAGGTGGGAATCATGGTCCCTATTCCAAGGGCTTCAAGAGCCATCCAACCTGACCAAATTCTCCAAGCCAGCAGTAAAGAAGACTGTGGTCAGGACTCCAGAGCCAGCTGCGCCACCGAAAAGAAGGCTGGTCCTGTAAGTGATGAGCACACCCTAAATGGGAAGTTGCACAAACACCAGATCTTTCACGGGTGGCAACTGAGTCAATGGGTCGAGTGGCAAGGACAGTCATGGTAAGAAGAAAGAGTCACCACCCATACTGAGTAACAACTTGCCACATATCTGTCCAGGCTAGCCCTGGGTTCCACCCTCCGCTCCACACACACACACGTACACACACGCACACGCACACGCACACGCACACACACACACACACACACACGCACCAGGGTTCCACCCTCCGCTCCACACACACACACACACACCGGGGTTCCACCCTCCGCTCCACACACACACGCACACACAAGCACACACACACATCTGGGTTCCATCCTCCGCTACACACACACATACACCTGGGTTCCATCACACACACACACACACACACACACACAAATAATAATCCGCCAGAACAGCCACAGATGCTAAGGTACTAAGCAAAGGGTTTCTGATAGCAGAGTCTTGACCTAGAGGAGAAAACAGAGGCACAGAGCACTAGCTGCTGCCAGGATTGTGCACAGCCTGTGACGAGAGTTTACAAGATTCTGAAACCAAGAATTCGAGCTTAGGGTATGGCTCAGACAGTAAAGAGCTTGCTGCCCAAACTGGAGGACCTAAATTTGGATCCTTAGTCTCCATGTAAGACTCTGGGTATATAACAGTGTGTGTATTTAACCACAGAACCAGGAGGTAAGAAGAGAAAGACAGTCTAGCTGACGCAGTGAGTCCCAAGCTCAGGGAGACCCCGTCTTGAAAGAGAAGGTGAACACCGTAAGAGGATGACAGCTGACAGCAGCCTCTGCCCCTCCACCGCACTACACAGGTGAGTGCACCGCACACAGACACGCAAGTGCACATGCACGAAAAAACTATTTTTTTTAAAAGATAAAAATTGTGGGGGCTGGAGAGATGGCTCAGCAGTTACGAGCACTAGCTGCTCTTTCAGAGGACCTGGGTTCAATTCCCAGCACCCACATGGCAGCTCACAACCATCTGTAGCTCTAGTTCCAGGGTAATCTGACACCAATGCACAGAAAATAAAGTTAAATAAATTAAAAATAATAATGATAATAATAAAATAAAAACTGTTTGCCGAGTGCTTGCTACAGGCCCCAAGGTATTCGAAGTGTTTGGGGTAGAGCAAGCAGCAAATGAAAGGGAGCAAAGCTGCTTCCACCTGGGCCCACGCCTTTAATCCAGCATGCAGGTGGCACAGGCAGGCTGGTTGCTGTGAGCTAGAGGCCAGCCTGGTTTAAACAGCTGAGTTCTAGGGCTATCTACCAAGAACAAGTCTAAAAAAACCCATACATAATAAGATACAACAATCCCACAACCAAGCTAAGGTCTAGCTCATGCAAAGGCTAAGAGTGTATCTGTGAACTGGGTAGTGGTGGAGCACGCCTTTAATCCCAGTACTCAGGAAGCAGAGACAGGCGGATCTCTGTGAGTTCGAGGCCAGCCTGGTCTACAGAGCGCATTCTAGAACTGGCTCCACAGTTACTGAGAAACCCTGCCTGTATCTGTGGGAGACACGTCCCTGGAAAAGGGAACAGCAAAACCGTTCGGTAACCATCACCCACCCCGCTGTCTAGCGCCCGGGCTGCAGTGCAAGAAGTTGAGGGCTGAGGGGGGCTACTGACCTCCTCGGCATTTTCCAAGTCATCTAGTCCTTCGTCCTCCTCCACATCGTCAAAGTCATCGCCATCAAAGCTAAGCCAGAAGGAACAGCTGGTTAGAGCGTCACCTGCCAGAATCAGAGGCACAGCTCGGTGTATCGGGTGTGACGTAGGAGGGACAGCAAATCTCAATGAAGGAATCTTCGCTGTATGCCTTCAATCTTGTCCCGTCTGCCCCCCAATTTTGCTAGGACTTGTTCACCACTGTTTCCCTCTCTATGAACTACTGTGGTCAGCCTGTAACATGTACTTTTCTGGTCTGAGGACTTTTTTTTTTCTTCGGTTTTTCAAGACAGGGCCTGTCCTGGAATTAGCTCTTGTAGGCCAGGCTGGCCCCAAACTCACAGAGCTCTGCCTGCCTCTGCCTCCCTATGTGTTTGTGTATGTGAATGTGAGTGTACGCACGAGTGTGCAGATGCCTGTGGAAGCCAGAAATGGGGTGTCAATTCCCCTAAAGCTGGTATTGCTCAACACGGTACCGGGAGCAGAGCTTTCACTCCCTGGACAAGCAGCAGTGCTGGCAATCACTAAGCCATCCTCCAGTCACCAGCGCAGGACGAGCCCCATCGGAAGGGGGAAGCTATACATCTGTAAGTGTGATGCTACACTCCCATACTCCTAGCATTTGGAATGGAGGAGGAGATGCAGGAGTTTAAGCCCAGCCTGGGCTATACAGGGAGATGCTGTCTCAAGAACAAAAAATTTACTTCAGGGCTGGAGGTGTTGCTCAAAAGTAGTGTATACACAGCATGCACGAAAACCCCGGGCATTAATTCCCAGCAGAGAACATTACCACTATCACCCTACCCCTGAGGTGACTGTGAAGAGAAGATAACCTAACCCAGGTAAGACTTTCACCACATCCCAAGCTCTGCTCGCTGATTACCTTTTTTGTTTTGTTTTCAAGGCAGAATTTCTCTGTGTAGCCCTGGCTGTCCTGGAACTCCCTCTGTAGACCAGACTGGCCTCAAACTCAGAGACCCGCCTACCTCTGCCTCCCGGGTGCTGGGTTTAAAAGCAGCGCCAGTCAGCTTCACTAATGATCTTTTCCTTGCTAACTCCTTCCCACTCTCACTCATCTTCGTCCAACAGCTGGCACATCTGGCTCCTCCCTCCTGCTTCACACTCAGGGGGAGCGCCTCCTCAGCCTTTCCTGGGTTCCCCCTTTTCCCCACTCACTAGCCACCTCCTCTCTAGGGGTCCGCACAACCCTGGTCGACACGCACGTCTCTGCTTTCACTGTATTTTTCCTGCGTTTTGTCTGCTTGCTTCTGAGACAACATCACTCTGTACACTATGTAACTCAGGCTGGCCTGGAACTCGCTACGCAGCACAGACTGACATCTGTTCACAGCAATCCTCCTGCCTTAGCCCCCCCAGTGCTAGGATTACAGGGGTAAGCCCACCATATCCAGCTTCTATTTCTGAGTTTTGACAGCTACATCTATTTTAGGACTCCCATAGTTTATCTTCTCTTTTGACCTAACACATGCAGCCATCAGGAAATCCTCTTGGCTCTATTTTTAAACTGTATCAGCAGCCAGGCATGGTGGCAAACCCCTATAATCCCAGTGCTCAGGAGGCAAAGGCAGACGGATCTCCATAAATTTGAGGACAGTCTGATCTACACAGTGACTTCCAGGACAGCTAGGGCCATGTAGACAGACTCTCTCAAAAAAAAAAAAAAAAAAAAAAAGTAAAATATATCCAAGAGCTGGACATGGTGACATAGACCTATAAATCCCAGTGTTTTGGAAGAAGAGGCAGGTGGATTTTTTTAGGGTTTGAGGCTAGCCTGGCCTACACAGTGAGTTCCTGGACAGCCAAGGCTACATAGCTGAGACTCTCTCTCTCTCTCTCTCTCTCTCTCTCTCTCTCTCTCTCTCTCTCATGTGTATATGTGAATACCATCTCTCTCTCATATGTGTCTGTGTGTAAGTGTGAATACCAGGGGCCAGGCATAGTAGTTCACGCTTTAATCTCATCATTTGGAAGACGGATTACTAAAGTGGAACCACCCGGTATACAGTGAGATTTGGTCTCCAGATAAATAAAATAAATATATACCCAGAGTTCAGCCCACTTCTGGCCACCTATGCTACAAGCCCGCGCCTGCTCCCAGCCTCCCGGGACATCTCTGGATTGCTTCTTCCTATTTCTACAACTACACGAACTACACCACCGGCATTCCCTTCCAGAAAGGGGGTGCCCAGAGGGCTTAACTCCGCACACTGTCCCGGGAGCATTTCTCCGCGAAGTAGGAAGTTCTCAAGACTTCACCCCCACAGACCCCGTAGCTGGGCTAGCCTGTGCTCCAAGCGCCCAGCTCGCACCACGAAGTCCTCCCCTCCGAGCCCGCGCTCACTTGTCTTCGTTGTCTGACATGATGCCTTCACCGCACTGACGGCTCGGGACCGCACAAGAGTGAACCGCGCGCTTCGGTCGTCCCCGGCACTACCCGCGGTCTGCGCCTGCGCCGTGACCCAAAAGCAATCACTTCCGGGAGACAGCCAAGAACGAGACGCGAGTGCGCACGCGTGGGCGTGTACGCTAGTTACCATAGTAACGGATGCGCTTGGTGCGGGCCCTAACACACTGGCTTCCCCGAGGTTCTCCTTCAGGAGGGCGCTGCCACGCTTAGGGTGAGCGCTCCGCCCGGGACCGTCCCGATGGGGACTGTGTTCACTTCACGGTCCGGAGCCGAGGGTTCGGGCACCAGCTTCTCAGATACCCAGGGTGCTGGCGATGAGAGGTCGGGACTGCGACGCGAGACGAGGGCTGGTCATTGCTTCTCTCCCTCCTAGGGCCCTCCCATGGCTTCACAGGAGAGGGTGGGCGCAGTGTCCAAAGGAACCGGGTTCCGGCGCTGCCCTAAGCAGGTCACTTACACGCCGGGGACCTGCGAGCTGCTCAGAGGTCAGTGCTTCACAGGAACAACGACAGGAGAGGTGGTGGTTTCTTTAAGAGACTGGGATTAAGAAAAGTTCAGGAGAGGACCAAAGTCCAAAGGAAGGAGAATTTTGGGGTGATTAGCTCATCTTTTACATTGCACGTTCAATGAAACCTAACTTCTCCTCACCACAGTGAAAACCTCCAGTACCAAATCCAATTGCCTTCCCTGGGCTTAGCACAATATATAGTCAGTCTTATAAGCTTTTGGTTTCCCAGATAGCACCTTTAAAAAAAAAAAAAGATTTCTTTATTTATTTATTATGTATACAACATTCTGCCTCCAGGTATGCCCGCACACCAGAGGAGGGCGCCAGATCTCAGTACACAGATGGTTGTGAGCCACCATGTGGTTGCTGGGAATTGAACTCAGGACCTCTGGAAGAGCAGTCAGTGCTCTTAACCTCTGAGCCATCTCTCCATCCCCTCACCTTTTTTTTTTTTAAGATTTATTTTTTTATTTTTGTGCATTGGTGTTTTGCCAGCATGTATGCCTGTGTGAGGGTGCAAGATTCCCTGGAACTGGAGTAACAGACAGTTGTGAGCCCCGTGCAAGTGCTGGGAACTGAACCCAGGTCCTCCTGAAGAACAGCTGGTGCTCTTCACCGCTGAGCCATCTCTCCAGCCCCACAGCCAGCACCTTCTAAATGGTGAATGCCACCAGGCAGAGAAAGTGCCTGTTTCTGCTCACAGTTGTGGCGCCAGCCTCTGATACATGGATGAGCATATATATATATATATACATTCATTTATCCAACAACTAAAAACACCTGATATGTGATTTTCATATTCTCCTACGTACTGGAAGTAAAGTGTTAGGGGATTGCAGAAAAGCAAACAATTCTTGCTTCCATAGAGCTAACAGTATAGGAGGTTAACAAGAAAAAATTACAAAGCTCAGTAATTTTGGGGTGTAGCTCAGTAATACGTATGCTAAGCATACATGAAGCCTGGTTTCAATCTCAGCACACGGCACACAAAAAATGTTACAGTTGGAAAAGTCGGCTCGGTGGTTAAGAACGTGTATTGTTCTTCAAGAAGACTGGAGTTCCCATATTAGCCACACACAAAAAAAGATGTATGTCTTAGGCAGATATAATGATATGCAAGTTTTCTGCTTGAGAGAATTGCCTGAGAAAAAAAAAGTCTGGATAATTAGATAATTAGTAATACCCTGTCTTTAAAATAAAATAAAATAAAATAAAATAAAATAAAGGCTGTAGAGATAGCTCAGAGGTTAAGAACACTTGCTGCTGTTCTGGAGGATCCAAGTTCAATTCCAACAACCATGTCAGGTGGCCTGAAACCACCTATAGAGGTTCAGTGCCTTTTTCTGGCCTCCACAGGCACCCATACACACAAAATCTTAAAGCTGGGTGGTGGTACACACCCCTAATTCTAGCACTCAGAAGGCAGAGGCAGGTAGGTTTCTGAGTTTGGGGCCACCCTGACCTACAGATGGAGTTCCAGGACAGCCAGAGCTGTTACACAGAGAAACCCTGCCTCGAAAAAACAAACAAACAAAAAAGACTTTTTTAAAAAAATCCATAGGCCAGGCGGTGGTGGCGCACGCCTTTAATCCCAGCACTCCGGAGGCAGAGGCAGGCAGATCTCTGTGAGTTCAAGTCCAGCCTGGTCTACAAGAGCTAGTTCCAGGACAGGCTCCAAAGCTAAAAAAAAAAAAAAAACCTGTCTCGAAAAACCAAAAAAGAAAGAAAGAAAGAAAAATAGTGGCTTATGACTTTAACCCCAGCACTCTGGAGACATAGGCGAGTGAGTTTGAGGCCTGCTCAATGAATATACCATGTTTCAGAACAGCCAGGCTATACAGTAAGACCCAATAAATAAATAAATAAATGGATAGATGAATATATAGAAAAAGGAAAAAACCTAAAAATGTGACATGTACTAGAGAAAATGAAGCAGGCAGAAGAACATGCGTGCTTAGTTGGGAGTTGGGGAGCAGTGCTGCGGTATGGAGTTTGGGCAAGATGAGACATGCTGAGACGTGGGGGAGATGCAGGGTTCAGCTGCAGCTCAGGAGGTCTCACGCCGAGACGTGGGGGAGATGCGGGGTTCAGCTGCAGCTCAGGTCTTATGCCGAGAAGTGGGGGAGATGCGGGGTTCAGCTGCAGCTCAGGAGGTCTCACAGAGTGTTTTATTTTGCAGTGATGATGAAGGAGTCCAAACTGACTAACTTCCAGCAACGACACATCTTGGACACCATGAGAAGTAAGGACAGTCACTCTAGAGACTTTCTGAACAGAGGACCAGGGATATATCTTTAATATTCCTCTATGTGAAAGGGAAGGGGAGTTCATCTCAAAGGACAGAAGCCAGACATGATTATATACACTTCTAGTCCCAGCACTTAGGAAGCAGAGGCAGGAGGATCACCAAAAGTTCAAGGCTGAGCCCGGCTGTGGTGGTGCAAGCCTTTAATCCAGCACTTGGTAGGCAGCGGCAGGCAGAGTGAGTTCCAGGATAGCCAAGGCTACATAGAGAAACCCCATTTTGGAAAAAAAAAAAAAAAAAAGTTCCAGGCCAGCCTGGTTTATACAACAAGGTCCAGGCTGGCCAGGGCTACATAGTGAGACCATCTCATAAAAAGGTTTGGGGAGAGTGAGGCAGGCTGGAGAAGTGGCTTAGTGGGTAAGAGAAGGCTCTTGTAGAGGCCCTGAATTTGGTTCCCAGCTCCCATGTCGGTGGCTCACAACCACCTGCAACTCCAGCTGCAGGGCCATCCCACATCTCTGGCCTCTGTGGGCACTGCAGTCATGTTCAGACACACAGGCATATACATATCTAGAGTAACTAAAAATAACATATTTTTTGTTTGTTTTTCAAGACAGGGTTTCTCTGTGTAGCCCTGGTTTTCCTGGAACTCACTCTGTAGACCAGGCTGGCCTCGAACTCACAGAGACCCGCCTAACTCTGCCTTTCAAGTGCTGGGCTTGAGACATGCTGTGGACAGATTATTCCTTGTGCTGCCAGCTCACAAACTACACAGAAACTTAATCATGGAAGTTCAGCCAAGGGCTTGGGCTTGTCCCTCTAGCTCTATCCATCTACGACTTGTGCCTTTCACCTCTCCTCTGCATCTGGTTGGTGACTCTGCCCTCTTCTTTGCAGCTCTTTGTCCAGAAGTCCCGCCTATACCTCCTGCTTAGCTATTGGCCATTATCTTTTTTGAAACCATTCACACTGACACATCTTCACACAGTGTAAAGGAATACTGACTAGCCAGTGGTAAAGAATACTTACTGCTCTTGCAAAGGTTCTGAGTTCAGATCCCAGCTCCTACATGGTGCCTCACCCCCATCTAAACTCCAGTGCGAAGTGATCCTCTTCTGACTCCTGTGGGCACCAGAAGAGGTTCATATATGGTATACATTGATATATGCAAACATCCATAGACATAAAATAAAAATAAGTACACCTTGAAAGACAAGGCTTCCTTGAAGCTGTTCCCTAGGAATTCACTGTCTACTTCTCCTTAAGCAAAATATTGTTTCATAGCTTGGTTGAAGCCACAGATCCCTCTCCCCGACATGAATGTCCAGCATCACTGAGGCTGTAACTATTTGCTTGCTCAGCGTGTGCTCAGGGGAGAGGCAGACCTGGGGCACGGGATCATCCCGGGAATGGTATCTGCTTGGTTCCACGAAGGGAAGGCAGTGGGGGAGTGGGGAGTAAAGGCAGGCACACACTTTTAAGTCCACAGCACAGAAACCCAGTCATCCTTGACGGCCCTTGTTCTCCCTCCTACCTGGTCAACAGCCCTGCAAGCTACAACCTGCTCCTGATAACCTGTCTTCTCTGCTCCTCACCAATGCTGCATGTTATCTGAATAGCTGTTTTCCTTGACCCTACCCTTAGCCATGAATGGGACTGTCAACAGCAGAAAGGGTAACTTTTCCCCAAACCCTCCAACAGCTTGCTACGCTGTAGAATAAAATCCTCTTTCCAGAAGCTTCCATAAGTCCTGATCTCTGTCTCTCACCCCATTAGCCTCTTGGCTGCTACCTAGATACCTGGGTACACAGTGCCTGAGCACCTTCACCCCAGCTGTTCTACCTGGAACAGTCTTCCTCAAAGTAACTGCAGGTCTGGCTCATCACCCTTCACTGTCTGCTCCAATGTACCCTTTTACAAAAGCTTTCCCTGTTACAACCACAATCTGGGCTGCAGTTTTGGCTCAGTTGGCAGAGCCCTTGCCTCAGATGCACCAAGCCCTGGTGCATTCCAGCACCACAGAAACCAGGTGTGGTGGCAAATACCTACAATCCATGCACTTGGAAGATAGAGGCAGGAGGATCAAAAGTTTAAGGTCTATATGGAGTTGGGAGGCCAGTCTGGATAGACCCTGCCTTTAAAATAAGCAAAAACTGCCAGGTGGTGGTGGCACACATCTTTAATTCCAGCACTTGGGAAGCAGAGGCAGGTGGATCTCTGTGAGTTTGAGGCCAACCTCATCTACAGAGCAAGTTCTAGGCCAGGCTCCAAAGCTACAGAGAAACCCTGTCTTAAGAAAACAAACAAAACAAACAAACAAAAAACAACATCAAAAAAGCAAAAAACAAAACACAGGGCTGGTGAGATGGTTAAGCAGGGAAAGGTGCTTGCTGCCAAGTGTAACAATCTGAATTTGATCCCTGGGACACGCATGGTCAGAGAGAACTGATTCCCTGACCTGCACACATACACAGACATGCATGCACACAGCACATTAAAACAAAAACCACACACAGAGAAATAAAAACACCAAAGACTCAGTGTATAAGAATGTTTATTGCAGCATTGTCAGAAGTAGTAAAAATCCAGCCAACAAAAACAAAACAAACCCAGAGAGAACCTGAATGACTAGCTGAATAAATAGTGTAATCATTCTAACAACTAGTAGATTACTATAAAAAATAAGTTACATATAAATGTGTCTTTATGGAAAGTTGGTCGTGATAAATTGGTAAGTGAAAAGGTGTGATCCAGTGTTTAAGAACCGTCTGTGTACATACCGAACAAAAAACATCCTTGAATGTGTTTTAGAAGCATCAAGAACGAGGAGCGACCACCTAATTGTTAGCACAGCCTGCAGAGGAGCACGCTCAGAGGGCTGGACTGTCCACACTGTTTGACTTCTATTTGGCAAATACTACTTTTCTTCAAAAAGAAAGACAAACAGGTGCCGTCACTTGACCATTTTGTTCCCAGGAGGAGCCCCTCTGCCCCTGCAGTGCAACCCAACATCCAGCCAGAGGGACTCTCCTTCTAAGAAGCCAGCTACAACCATCTACCTGCCTCCCATCCTGGCTACCCACTCCCACCTCCGGCCTGCCAGCATGTGTCAAGCCAATGGGGCATACAACCGTGAGCAATTCAAGCCTCAGGCCACCAGTAAGTGATGGTCTTGGGCTAGGGGCTCTCTTCTGTCTTCTGGGGTCACAGAGGCCTGGGACAGACAGCACCATTCCAGTAGTGGGTAACAAACCCAGACAGATGGCCCTCTTCATCCTATAGCTTTTCTGAAATTAATCCAGTTTTCCTAATCCTAATCCCAGAGGGATACATGGTCCCTCAAGTCCATCTCCTCTGTATTTGAGCCCACATCTGGGAGCATGCCCCAGCATCCTCACAATTCCCTACACATAGGTCACCTCGGAGGTCTGCATTTCTGGATTCTCTGTTAGCTCTGCACTGAAGTTTTTTCTTGGTTGTCTCAACTGCTAACCTGCCATGTTCTGCTCTGGAACAGCCAAGGGAGGTGCTGGGTCTGCAGAGCCCACTCCTCTCAACCCCAACAGACTGCAGCGGGGTTAAGAGGGAAACAACTGCTCTTCCCTCTTAACAAGACTGTCTCTGGGCCCTACAGGAGATCTGGAGAAGGAGAAACGAAGACTCCAAAATATCTTTGCCACTGGGAAGGACATAGAGGAACGGAAAACGGCTCCACGTATGCAGCAAGAGGACCCAGCTCCCGAGGTGGACCGGTTTGAAGAATGTGAGTGTGTGTGTGTAGAACTGATGGGGCTAACAAGAGAACATGACTTGCTAGAGACCCCCTCCCCCACCCCGCCCTGCTCTCCCTCAGAGGTTATGTGCTGCCTGGGTCCCTGTGCACTCCCACTGTCCTGTGCACTGATGGCCCTCCCCTCTGTGCAGTGGTGAAGGAAGTCCAGGACAGGAAAGAATTCTTGGCTGCCATGGAGGCTCTGGGACAGGGCAAGCAATACCGAGGAATCATCCTGGCTGAAATCTCCCAGGTAGGAAAGCCCAAAAGTGGGGAGGAGTAGACTCAAATGGGAGGAGCCCCAGCCAGCACCACGGCTGGCCTCTCAGGTGGCAAGCTCCCACCATGGTGTCCTGCCATGACAGCCATCTTCCTGGTGGCCCTTTGCAGAAAATAAGGGAAATGGAGGACATCGACCGCAGCAGAAGCGAGAGGCTTAGGAAGGCTCTGGCCACCACCTAATCCTAGACAAGGGTGGGCCAGCCCAGTGCGACCACCAGAGCCTTCGCTTCGCCAAGCAGTGTCATCCCCAGGTCTGCCCACCCTCAGAGACCATGCCAGATCATGATGTGGCACTGCCCAGGGATGCAGAGGCCACAGTGATGCCTCTGAGTCACTGTCACAGCCACAGTATTGGCACCTTCTTCAGAGGAAAGAGCCCAGACACACCATGGACATCTGCCTAAGGGCACCCTCTCTCTGGCTCTTCCCACGCCACAGCTGTCCTCCAGGTGCTCTGTGAACACGATTCTGTCCTTCCTGTATCTTAGGATCTATTTCTTTGCCTTCTTGTAGCCTTGGGCAAATGTTTGACCACAATGATTAATTGGCCAATAAAACACATTTAACTTGGCCATGACATGTGCTGCCTTGTTTACACAGGAATAAACACATTTAATCTGTTCAGAATCAGAACCCGTCCAGTGCACATGAGTTCTAACTGCTGTTTGCACATTTCCAGAGGAGCAGGGAAACAGATTCCTGAGCAGCCTGTCGTCAGTGCTAGCCCTCAATTCTGCGGTGTGAACACCCGTCTCACTAAGACACTCCATCCAGGTAGTTACTGCTGAGGAGCCCACTAGGGGTTAAAGGTCAGCTTCATGACTTCCACCAAATGAAGACTAAGGAAAGAAACATAAAAGGAGGGATCCATACTAAAAGGGCTCTGGCAGGTGCCACAGCCTTGGTTCCAGTTCCATTCACATGCTCCCGAGGTCCCAGCCTGAAGGTCAAGGAACCCAATAAGGAAACAGCCCTGCTCCCACCTGGTATGCCCTCGCTCCCCACAACTGATTTACTGCACAGCAGTGTCCTTCAGGCTGTGACTCTGAACAGCCTGACCTTCACTAGTATCCCATCATTCCCGTCTCTAGAAATGAAATCCTTCCTGCACCTGCTACAAGTCCCATATCTGTCTTCTTACCGAAGAATAACCATGGCTATTACACAAGAGCCAGCAGATAGCATCAGTCAGTAGGGACACAGCTCCAGCCCAAGCCTAGCACACTGGAAAAGCCAGGGCAAGTGCTGACTACAGTGGCAAACTCAAATAGATGGCAACATTTACAGATTATGCCTGACAGAAACTAGATTCTGGGTTTCTTTTGAAAAGTGAGCAAGATGTGGCAAGCCTGTGTCCACATTCACAGGCAACAGGTGACTTCTGTGAGGAGGGCTGGTCCCTGGAGACATGGAAACTATGCTTGACACTGAGACAGCCTGGTGGAGCCCTCTCCTGGGTTACAGCAGCTGGGTCACAGGACCCTTCTGAAAAACCTGAGGTGGTAGCCTGGGCTTCAGGTCAACAGTGCATCTGGAAAGACTGCCAGGGGCTATATGGGAGTGCAAGCACCTCTCCCCAAACAAGAAGGGAATCCTGCCCCATGGGAGGCACTGTGGTCAAGTTCCCAACTGCGTGGACAGCCCAGCCCCTCCCGGGTGGCCAGACACCTGGCCATGAGGTGGAGCACACACAGGCAAAAGGGCACAGATGTGGCTGTGGCCAAGGCTACTGGGCACTAGCAACTGAGAGACAGTGCACTCCTTCCCAGGATGCAGAGGGAGGGGCAGGCACTGAAGATGCCGAGAGCAAGAACAGTGCTTGGACCACAGGCTGCCTGGCATATTCCCCAGGGAAAAGATGTACCCCCAGTACTGTTCTCCCAGGGCCATCCAGGGGTGAATGCCACCAGTCCCCAGAGGGAACAGACAACCACAGAAAGGAATGGGTCCATCCCCTGGGTATGGAGTGGGCAAAAACCCTGCATCAGAGGTCAGATCACAACACCTTAGAGAACAAAGGTTAGCACCTACCCAAATCACACCTTTCTAGGCTAGTCTGAGTCACCACCTCAGCACAACCACCAGGTCCCCATGGTGTGGGTGAGACTTCCCATGAACCAAGGGAGAGGTAAGGGAAGAGCTCCCTACAGCTTGGGAGGCAGAGGAAAGCAGTTCATTCCCAACTGACACAAAACAGCACTCACTGAGGGTCCAGAATCTAAGACTTCATAGAGCTCCTGAGTGAGGGGACATGACTTTCAAGGGCACATGTGTTAGACAGGAAGGCAGAGACTAAGAGTCAGGGCTGAGAAGGAAGAAGTTAGGCAGCCAGCCTTGTTGCTGGCCTGCTGCAAGGTGCACATGTCATGGCCAGAGCCTGCCTTGGGCAGGACTGACAGTGAAGACTCCATCTGGCCTGGTTCAGAAGTACAAGGAGAGTTACTGCCTCTGCCTAGTCCCTGCATCCCTGCTTGCCCCTGGGCCTGTCACAGCATCTGGAGTCAGAATGCAAGTGGGCAGGGCTAAGTCACAGCTGTCTGGGACACAGGGAAGAAAGAGGGAAGAAAACTTTAGCCCAAACCAGCTGGAGACTCCCAAGGAGGCCAAAGCTCACCCAGGGACTCCCTCCCAAGGTCACTGACCCCCTTGGCAGGTCTGAGGGCAGCAGAGTGCTGTTCTGGCCTGGAGACTCCAGGAGAGGAGAGGAAGTCTGCTTCCTGCGCTGTCTGTCAACTCTTGTCCCCAGGGACCTTGCTTTTGGTGTCACGCTTGTTTCCCAGCAGCTTCAGCACCTTCATGGTCTTGAACTTGCCTTTCTTCTTACCCTCGGACTCAGTCTCTCTTTGGAACTCTGCAGCAAAGAGGGACCATCAGGGGCAGGATGGAGCAGTGACCAGCGACACTGAGCGGCTTTAGCCCACCCATGCACCAAGTCATGTCACTATGCCTAGTTCCCTTTTCTCCCTGGGATCCACACCTGGGAGGACAGTCTGGAGCCTGAGACGGCGGTGCTCAACCTGTGGTCGCATATTCTACATATCAGATATTTATATTACGATTAATAACAGTAGCAAAATTACAGTTATCAAGTAGCAAAGAAACAATTTTATGGTTGGGGGTCACCAAAATATGAGGAACTGTACTAAAGGATTGCAGCATTAGGAAGGTTGAGAACCACTGTGAGGTATAGCTCACATTTTACTCAATAGCTCCATCACCTAGACTGACGTACATTTCTCTGTAGGCTACAACAGAAATCTCAACTGCCAGGACTAAGGAACACCTCAGAAACCATCTGCCCAAACCTCAAACTCTCACGAGGAAAATGTGTGCCTTTGAAAAGAACCAACACCAACCATGTGCTTGTAGGTCCCTAATCCCAGACTGGTGCTTTGCAGAGTTAGCTCCAAAACCCTCAGCCCACACCGGGGAGAGGCACCATGGGAATGGGAGTGAAGTGAGGGCTGAAGGAACTGGCTCAGCCACCAGCTCATGTTAGAGAAAGGACCAGCACTCAGTCTGGCTCCAGCCTCAGCCAAGATGTAGCCATGAGGCCAAACAGTGAGCCACAGGTGGGACTAAGGTCAAACCCCAACCCAAACAGCTCTCAGGGAGCAACTCCAGGCACTCTGATCCTAGCTCTAGATTCCCATACTCCTAAGCCAACCCGCAGAGCTCTGGAAAGATAATCTGCTCAGAGCAAAGCCATCCTGGGTCAAGACCTCCTGGTGGACCACAGTTCTCCCCTCCCAGCCTGAACCAGCCGCATGGCTGTGACTGGCCTCACTACACTTGGCTTTCCAGCAAAATGGAGCCTGGAATTTGCATTATGACCAACCATCCCTATGGGGCCTGTTCAACCTTCTATTTCCAGGCTGCAAACATAGGCTGGCGCTCACAGGTAGGTACTGGTCCCTCCACAAGATGAGCCTCACCTTTCTTCCTCATCATAGCTTCCAACATCTTGTCTTCCTCTTCTTCCCTGGGGTGGAAATGACAAGCTGAGTGACCACAGCAGGAAAGAGCCAGGTCACCCATGAGCCCCTTCCAACCTTCAGGCCCCACAGGACTTGTCAAACGTGAGGGAAAGCTGGCAGTGAAGGCAGAGCTCTGCCAGGAAGTGGCTCCACCTATGGGGTCCCAAGCATGTCACCTCTGCCGGTCCTCATCCAGGCAGTTGACAATAGCATTGCGCTGCTCGATGAGGGTCACAAGCTCCTGCATCAGCACCTTTTCTCTGGCCCGATCCTCCTCTGTCCAATCCTTTTCTGCCAAAGGAGAAAGCCAGGGTGAGTGGTGGGGACCCTCTTCCTCACAGTAACAGGACATACCACCTGAGTTCCCGGGAAGACAGCAGGTAACTATACTGTGGAATGAGTGGAGGGCCCAGAGTTGACACTCACAAGCTCTTAGAGAGATTGGAAGCAATTCTAGAAAGAAACAAGGACACCCGGAAGCCCACCAGAAAGCCTTCAAAAGACGCCCTGTAGAGGCAGAAACCCTCAAGGGCTTCCTGCTCACCAAACACGTCATTCAAGGATACCATGCAAGGCCAAGGTGCCCACCAAACACACTGTTCAAGGACATCATGCAAGGCTAGCAATTCTCATGGGCTGAAGAGATGGCTCAGAGGTTAAGAGCACTGACTGTTCTTCCAGAGGTCTTGAGTTTAATTCCCAGCAACCACATGGTGGCTCACAGACATCTATAATGAGATCTGGTGCCCTCTTCTGGCATGCAAGCATACACGGAAGGAATGTTGTACACATAATAAATAAATAAATCTTTAAAAAAAAAAAAAAGGCTAGCAATTCTCAAGGGCTTCCTGCATATCAAGCCCACTGTTGAAGATACCAAGCAGGCCAGCACTCCCCAAAGCCTTCCTAACACATGTGTTGGTGGCATCTTGAGAAAAGCTATTGGACTGGCTTGAGTGGACAGGGGTGGGAATGACAAGGAACTTCCAGAGGTCCACTTGCAGAAGCAGTATGGTCCCGGTCACACAGAGGAACATGTTCCCAAAGCCTATAGGAGGGCACTGGGGACAGGCCAGTCATGAGGATCCCTGGTGTCACTTCCAGCCTCTTCCCTCTTCTAGGCCCAGGGCTGCCTCACAAGACCACCATCAGGGGGCACACTCATGTCTGGTTCCTCTCACCATCTCCAGGCTCCAGGGCACCCACACCTGGTGCCCCTCATGTGCTACACACCTAGAAATAAACCTCCTGAAGCTCCAGGAACT